CCTCCCTAGTTTGGTTGTCCAGAAATATCGGAGCTTTCGGGAGGTGCACAATGTTGAGACAAATCCAATGAACTTGAGACAATGCTGCTTCACCAGGTCGCTGTCACTTGCTGTTGCGGGCACAGCTTGGGAAGCCTCGCACACGCAGGAGAAGAATTTTTGTGTCCTGTTGGAGGTACGCTATGAACGGCAAAGGACCCAACCGAACTGGGAGTTCCCATCTCGGAGATTGACCTACAATTCCACAGTTCGAGCCTAGATTGCTCACGGGTTCCCAGCAGCTCAACACAAAAGCCAAATATGAGGCACTCCCTGTCTTGTCATTTTCGGGTAGTTCTTTCTTGTCAGTGCAGTCATCTGGACAACAGCCCTAAAACCCAAAGGATGTGGTTCAAGGATTGTCTGTTTTGAAGGGAACTGACAGGGAGTTCCAATTTGGATGTTTGCTCAGGGCATGTTAGAAGATCATAGAAGCGTTGCGATGCAGAAGCACAAGGGCAAAGACTGGCCTGCATCAGCATTGCTCCACTTCGTACTTAGTCCCATCCGCCTGAATGCGTCGGGGCGGTTGCTGTGTGCTCGAATGCTCAGTATGGGCATGCAGATCTCCACCACACCACCCAAACCTGTATCTGTGCGGTGTGCGTGCGCTTTAGTGTGGGTGTGGGGCTGGGCGCGGGCGTGGGCGTCTGCGTCTCGGAGCGTGCCAGCATGCATGCGAGAGTGCATGCGAGAGTGCGTGCGCGAGTGCGTGCGAGAGAGTGTGCGAGAGAGCGTGCGAGAGACCGTGCGTGCGTGCGTGCGTGCGTGCGTGCGTGCGTGCGTGCGTGCGTGCGTGCGTGCGTGCGTGCGTGCGTGCGTGCGTGCGTGCGTGCGTCGTGCGTGCGTGCGTGCGTGCGTGCGTGCGTGCGTGCGTGCGTGCGTGCGTGCGTGCGTGCGTGCGTGCGTGCGTGAGTGCGTGCGTGCATGCGTGCGTGCGTGCGTGCGTGCGTGCGTGCGTGCGTGCGTGCGTGCGTGCGTGCGTGCGTGCGTGCGTGCGTGCGTGCGTGCGTGCGTGCGTGCCTGCGTGCCTGGCCTGCCTGCCTGCCTGCCTGCCTGCCTGCCTGCCTGCCTGCCTGCCTGCCTGCGTGCCTGCGTGCCTGCGTGCCTGCGTGCCTGCGTGCCTGCGTGCCTGCGTGCCTGCGTGCCTGCGTGCCTGCGTGCCTGCGTGCCTGCGTGCCTGCGTGTGGCCTGCCGCGCCTGCGCGCCTGCGCGCCTGGGCGCCTGCGCGCCTGCGTGCCTGCGTGCCTGCGCGCCTGCCCGTACGTGCGCGCGTGCGCGCGTGGGTGCGTGGGTGCGAGTGTGTGGTGTGTGTAGCGTGTGAGGTGTGCGGTGAGTGGGGTGTGTTTGGTGTGTGGTGTGTGTGTGTGTGGTGTGTGGTGTGTGGTGTGGTGTGTGTGTGGTGTGGGTGGTGTTTGGGTGTGGTGGGTGGTGTGCGGTGTGTGGTGTGTGGTGTGTGGTGTGGTGTGTGGTGTGTGGTGCGTGGTGTGTAGTGTGTGGTGAGGTGTGTGGTCTGTGTGTGGTGTGTGGTGTGTGGTGTGTGTGTGGGTAAGTGTGGGTGTGTCTGTGTGTGGGTGTGTGGGGGTGTGGGTGTGTATGTGTGGGTGGGTGTGGTTTGTGTGGTTTGTGTGTGGTTTGTGTGTGTGTGGTTTGTGGCTTGTGTGAGTGTGTTTTGTGTGTGGTTTGTGTGGCTTGTGTGTGTGGTTTGTGTGTGTGTGTGCGGTTTGTGTGGTTTGTGTGTGTGCGGTTTGTGTGTGGTTTGTGTGTGTGTGTGGTTTGTGTGTGTGTGTGGTTTGTGTGTGTGGTTTGTGTGTGTGTGGTTTGTGTGTGGTTTGTGTGCGTGTTGTGTGTGTGTGTTGTGTGTTGTGTCTGTGTGTGTTGTGTGCGTGTGCGTGTTTTTTTTTCTGTTTGTGTTTGTGTTGGTGTTTGTGTTTGTGTTTGTGTTTGTTTTTGTGTTTGTGTTTGTGTTTGTGATTGTGTTTGTGTTTCTGTTTCTGCTTCTGTTTGTGCTTGTGCTTGTGCTTGTGCTTGCGCTTGCGCTTGCGCTTGTGCTTGTGCTTGCGCTTGTGCTTGTGCTTGTGCTTGTGCTTGTGTTTGTGTTTGTGTTTGTGTTTGTGTTTTTGTTATTGTTTGTGCTTGTGTTCGCTTTGGTGTTGGTGTTGGTGTTGGTTTTTGTGTTTGCTTGTGCTTGTGCTTGTGTTTATGTTTGTGTTTGTGCTTGTGTTTATGTTTGCGTTTGTGCTTGTGTTTGTGTTTGTGTTTGTGTTTGTGTTTGTGTTTGCGTTCGCGTTCGTGTTTGTGTTTGTGTGTGTGTGGGGGGGAATTACTCCCGCGCATGCAAAGGAGCGGCTCAACATCCCAAAGCCTGAAGACGCCGGGCGTCATCTTCGAACACTGGGGCGGGCGGGCGGGCGGGCGGGCGGGCCGGGCGGGCGGACGGGCCACTCCCGAACATTTAAGCGAGCGTCGCAACATCTCAAAATCTTGAGATGCCCCGGCCACCTTCAGACACTGCGTCGGGCGAGCAAGCGAGCGGCGCGGGGTGGGGCTGGTGGGCGGGGCCGGGAGTGGCAGGCAGACAGGTCTGTCCCGAACATCTACATGAACGCCGCAACATCTCAAACCACCCGCCGACGACAGCGGGCTACCCAAACGTCACAACATGTCAATCTCTCAAGATTCCCAGCCATCATCTTCGGATACTGAGTTACTGCGGGCCGGCGGGCGGGGTTGGGCGGGCGGGCGCGCCTTCGGCGCCAAAAGCTGCCTGTTGCACTGCTTCTAGCTTGAGACTTCTACAACCCCCCAACAAAACCTCTAGCGACAAGGGCGCGCCTCTCTCTCACGCATAGGTCCCCACAAACATCCTTGGATTCTGCAGCAGTTGCGCGGTTGTGACCTTGCTCCGCGCGGTGCGCCCACGGCCTCTGCGCTCGCGCTTCTGCGTCCGTCTTCAGCTCGCTCCCAAATGCTTGCAAACCGGCCCGCGCTGACCTTTTGGAACTGCGGCGCTGGCTGCCCCGCCGCGAAACCGCGGCGGCTCTGCTGCGCTTTTCGGCGCGCCTCCTGCTGCGGCGCGTGCGCCGTCGAGCCCGGCTGCCCCAGCAGAGCCGCCCAGGCTGCTCTGCTGCTTCCGGCGCGCTACGGCTGGCCTTAGGCAATGGGACGCACCCTCAAGGCAAAGCCATGGGGGCGGGCGGGCGGCGGGTGGGGCAGCGGGGGACATGTTTCTCCCGAACATCTGAACGAGCGCCGCAACATCTCAAAGGGATACTGGAGTGGGCGGGCGGCGATCCCGACCAGCCGGTTACCGCAAGGGGCGAGCAGGCAGCCAGGACGACTGAAACTGTCAAGATGCCCAGGCCATCAGCTTTGGGTGCTGAGGCGGCGAGTGAGCGGGCTAGTTAGTTGGGGGGGGGGGCGAGTGTGCCAGGGCGGGCGAGCTGGCTACTCACTACTCTCGAGGCTTTGAAGGGAGCGTCGCAACATCCGCAAATGTTGAGTCTTCAGACACTAGGGGCAGGTAGCAGGATTGCATCCTGCGCTTTAACATAGCATCCTGCGTTATGAGGCAGATCATCCTGCGTTATGAGGCAGGGCATCCTGCTCGGAATCTTGCTGCTGCTCGTTTGCAGGAAGAGACAACCCCCCACCGCTATACATTTGGAGATCGTCACCGGGGTAGGAATATGCCATATGCCTGTTGCATGGGAACTCATCGTGTTCACGAGGCGCGGGAGAGCATCTTGCGCAAAGAGCAGGGCTTCCTACACAATGTAGGCATCGTGCAGTGCAAAGCCCGGCAAGCAACGTGTGACAATATGCGGAAGACGCGAGTCATTCTGCACAAGCGACACGGCACATGCGCGCGCACGCCGTGCGCGGTCACAAGTGTAGTTGAGTGCTTCGCTCAATGTTGTCGTGCTGCTGGCTGGAGATGTTCCTGCATCTTTGCGTGGCGCCGGGGAGAGACGTTTTCCCACATGATAGGATGCCTGGGAGTCCTGGCTCCGATCTTAGATGTTGGAGTAAAGTGTGAAGGAGCTGCTTAAGATGTTGCGGCGTCTAGTCAGGATATTGGGGTGAGATGTCTTGGTGACTTTTTAGATGCTGGGGCGTCTCTTTAGGATGTTGGGGAGTGGTCCCCCGTGTGTGTGTGTGTGTGTGCGCGTGGGTGTCTGCGTGGGTGTGTGCGTGGGTGTGTGTGTGTGTGTGTGTGCGTGGGTGGGTGGGTGGGCGGGTGGGTGTGTGTGCATGTGCGAGTGCGTGTGCGTGCGCGTGCACGTGTGCGTGTGCGTGCGCGCGCGCGTGCGCGTGCGCGTGTCCGTGCGCGTGTGTGTGCGTGTGTGCGTGCGTGCGCGCGTGTGCACGTGTGCGCGTGTTCGCGGGTGTGCGGGTGTGCAGGTGTGCAGGTGTGCGTGTGTGCGTGTGTGTGTGTGTGTGTGTCTCTGTGTGTGTGTGTGTGTGTCTCTGTGTGTGTGTGTGTCTCTGTGTGTGTGTGTGTGTGTGTGTGTGTGTGTGTGTGTGTGTGTGTGTGTGTGTGTGTGTGTGTGTGTGTGTGTGTGTGTGTGTGTGTGTGTGTGTGTGTGTGTGTGTGTGTGTGTGTGTGTGTGTGTGTGTGTGTGTGTGTGTGTGTGTGTGTGTGTGTGTGTGTGTGTGTGTGTGTGTGTGTGTGTGTGTGTGTGTGTGTGTGTGTGTGTGTGCGTGTGTGTGCATGTGCGCGTGTGCGCGTGTGTGCGTGTGTGCGTGATTGCGTGTGTGCGTGTGTGTGCATGTGCGCGCGCGCGTGTGTGCGTGTGCGCGTGTGTGCGTGTGCGTGTGTGCGTGTGCGCGTGTGTGCGTGTGTGTGCGTGTGTGCGTGTGTGCGTGTGTGCGTGTGTGCGTTTGTGGCGCGCCTGATTTGGAAACTAAATCTGCACGCGTCTGCCATGGTCAGCACTGTCGGCACTCGGCCAAGGAGCTCACAAACTGCTTTGCAAAGATCTCCGCAAACACAAAGTAGCTCTTCGAACCAGTGTCGGCCATGCTTCGCCGTGGAAAGCCCCAGTCGAAAAGTCCACGTGCTGCCTGGAGCACTGTGTGCAGAAGGTTCTGCTGTTTGCGCGTGCTTGGGATCTTGTTTGCTCAACTCTTGATATTGAATGACATTGAAACACGCTTCTCGCTTGAATAGGCCAGGTTTCCTCAGCCAACTCTCCCATTTGTCTGCTCGCCGCAGCTCAGTACGAAGGATCATCAGCTGAAGGCCCAGCCAATTTTTCCCGGAGCCATCGCTGTTGTTTGACCAAATGGCATCACCTCCCAGACAAGGCATGCGTCTGAATACTTTCAACGCGGCCACTCAAGTACTCACACACACACATCAAAGGCTCCCAAGGTGTTGGCGGTTCGATACTGGGTTGTGCTCCAACAGGACCGCGTCGTCAGTGGCTCGGAGGCCCTGCCGCAGCTGGGGGTCCTTCAGCAACGCCAACGCTTGCACATGCTCTGCCTCCATGAAACTGCAATGGGTCATGGTGAAATGAGACGCGCGTGGCTTCGGTAATGATATACCATTCCCATGCCGTTTCAATGTCACCTTCACGCGTGTAAGTAACGCAAGAAGCACAAACATGAAGTGTGGCGTCGAACATGTTGTCCTGGAACTTGTTCTGCAGGACATGACGCATTGCTGCCCAATTGCCTTCCGGCGACAGAGTACAGGCCACTGTTCTTTCCAGCCTGTTGACATGTTGGACCGCGACCTGCCCACCGAAAGTTGAGCGACGTGTTCAAATTCCAATTCTGACGGAGGCATGGCCTTGCCAGCACAATACTGTTTGAAGCAGTTTTGCGCCAGAGGCTGGCATATCGAATCTTCGACAAGCAATGTGCAATTGGGCTCTCCTAATGATGATGCATGGCTTCTAGGACACCCCTAGCAAACGGCACACATATTGAATATCAATATGTTGTTCACCACAGTGGCTTCTTCAATTTGCGCGCAGCGCGACAATAACTGAGGCAATTGAGGCAATTCACTCTCCGACCGGCTGGCATGAGCCTTTGTTCCAAAAATCAGCACGAAGAGTCCGTCTTTTGGTGGACGCCAAGCTGCTGCTGTACCCGGAATAGGTGAAGTCTTCCGTGCCCTTCAGCTGCAGCTTCTTCGTGAAGGCCTCGTCGCCTGACAGCTTCTGGAACTCCTCGTGGCGCTCCCAGAACTTCCTCGACTGGGTCAAAATAAGCTGGTGGCCTGGTGGCTGCAGTCCGATCCAAGTTTCACCACTTCAGCGTCGAGTTTCGGAATACCCCGGGCAGAAACATTCAGAGCACCAGAACTTGTCCACTTGCTTCAACGAAGCGGCCACAGAATAAGGGCAGATTATTTCACCTGATCTGCCTGCAACGGATGCGCAAGTCCATTTTGCCAGCATTGTTTGAATGGAAATATTTCGTCATGTTCAATCCGAGCGGGGAATCATGTGATTCGCTTTGGCATCAGCGATGATGTTGTCTGATGAAACTCGAGCTTGGATCACTCGTGAAATTTGAGTTTCACTCCCCTGAAAACGTTGACATTTGTGCGCGTGTGTGTCTGTGTCTCACGAAGGTGGATGCCACGCGCGACCGCTTTCAGAGTAAAATAAGCTCAGGCGATACCCCCAACAGCACGCGGTGCTCTTCTTAGTGCTCGCAGCACCCCCCAACAGCACGCGGTCTTCTTACTCCTTGCAACACCCCGCAGCCCTCGCAGAACCTTGTGGAACACTCGTGGAACCTTACCTTAGGGCTGCCCCGGACCACCCCGGAGCCTATCTGGGCTGAGACCCCAAAGCTTCCACAGGTGTTGGGGAAAAAACATCACGTTTGGGACTCGGGATTTTGAACTTTTTTGAACTTGCCCTAAGGGTCCATGTACCTTCTGAGGAAGGTCTTTCGAAGTGAGTGCTCCAGCACTGTCGTTCACCAAAAACATGCTCAGCATGGTCGGAGGCCCCATGTGCGTGCTGAGGCCTTTTTGGGGCCATATGCCTCAGAGGGGCTGGTCAAGGTCGCAAAGAAACGTTGTATGAGCATGTTTGATTTACACATGGTCCATGCACATTCTCAGGACGGTTTTTCGAACGTGAGATTCTGGGCAGCACATGCCCCCGAAATGTGGCGGGAGGGCCCATGTACGTGCTTGGACACTTTCCGGGCCCGACCGCTCGATCCTAGGTGAGGGGCATATATCTTTCCACACTCCAGCACTAATACTTCAATCAATTGTGTTCAACCCATGCCTTCCTTGCGCCCTTTTGACCCTTTGTTTTGTAGATCCTTCGACTGCAGTGCATCAAGTGGGTTAGAGCACGCTAGCCCAGGAATCCAACCCAACGATGCCAGTTTTGGGCAACTCGAAGAGGGACTAGAAATAAGCAGGTGCTGAGCAAACTGTGGCCTTTTTCTTGGTGTGGGGGTTTCGTGGCTGCGGGATTTGTTGCTGGACTAGTTTCATGCAGAGTTGGAGCCGATGCGTGAGTTCATTCAGGCTGCAATCAAGCGCTTTACTAACCCGATGCTGATGTTCAGAACATGCCTCCCCGAGAAACGCTTGAGGGAGCAGCATCAGCGAATTAGGTCACTCATCATTGATAGCCGTTCGACAATGGCTAAATTGGCCTGGTAGTCCAACAACGCCAAACCTCATCAATGGTACAGCGACCCATGAGGAGTGTGTTCAGCCTGCCCATGCCCCGTGACGTCGGAGCCCTGCAGGAGGTAAAATCTGTGGGCCGTCAGGACTTGGAAACCGTTTTTGCTCAACTTGTCCAGTGTGTTCTGTAAAAAACCAGCATGCAAGTTTGCGACTCTGGAAGCTGGGGCTGCTCAGCCGGTTTTACTGAGCAGGGCTTCTGCCAAGATGTCGATGATGGCCTGATGCGTGCGCCCTTAGGCGTTGCAAGTTTGCCAATTGCTGTGTGTGTGTGTGTGTGTTTTCCCGGCCTACTGGTGTTCCACTTTTTGGGGCATGTGGGCGCTGATCGGAATACACGCGTTACCCTCGATAACTGGCAACCCTGGCCTTTTTTAAAGCAATTCTGAAGCAATATATGCCCCAATTCTACAGTACATTAAATTAGGATCTTCTGATTTGGCGTAGTGTCCAGGGTGGGCTCGAGGATATGACGTGTGGTTGCCTGACATTGAGGTTGGTAGCGCAAAAGGCAATGTGCCCCAAGCGAGGCCAGGCTGCTGTGTAAGTCAACCGCAACCCAGCTAGCGCTGGCAGCCTCGACAGCCAACCTTTACCGCGTAGCCCTTGACCCTGGTTATCCGTGTATGGGTCCACCAGGAAGACCTAGGACGAATCGCCACACTCACAGATCAGTCATAATCTATTCAGGGTGCACGTCGTCTAGGTTTGGTGGGACCGCTGGGGCTAAATGAATGGAACCGGCTTCCAAGCGCGCACGCTCGGCATAGTTTGGGCAGCCCTGCAATTGTCTTCGAAAACAGCCCCAACCAGAGTATAACCAGACAACATTGGTGACCTGCCTGGATATGCAAGGCTTGCAGATTGACGCCCCCCCCCCCCCCCATTTTCAGCGAGGAACTGCGTGGCACGTTGTTGTTTTTTCTTTTTCTTTTTTTTCCGGGAGCTTCTCCTGACCAGTCTTCGCAACACCACAAGTTTGTTTCGCATGGGGTCCGGTCCAAGTAGCAACTATTGAAGCTATTGAAAGAAGACCTTCTATTGACACCTGCCCATGTACAACTGGTGGGCATGCAGGAGTCACTGATCGGGTGCGTTTGGGATGTGTTGAATTGGAAGCCCTTTTCTGACACCTATTCATGTACAGCATTCGCGCAATCGTTTGAATAGGCTTTCTCAGTGCTTTCGGGATGACGGGACAGGAAGCCATTGCTGAGCCATCTACCCACGTCTAGACAAATGGCTCAACATGTGCCTTGATTGGGCTGCACTGGGTGGGTTTTGCGGTTCCGCGGTTGTGGGAAGAATTTCAAGGCAATGCTTGGTTGAATGGTGATGCGAACCAAGCAGCGTTAGATTTGCGTTAGATTCGTGAAAATTGCGTTAAATGACCGTGCTGGGCAACTTTCCAGCGTTAGATTTGCGTTAGATTTCGTTAGATTTCGTTAGACTCCCCATGAGCTGGCCGTGTCACGAAGCCCTCAACGCGGAAATGCGAATTTGTGGCCAAATATTTGGAGGGTTGCCGAGCGCCTGACGAGCTGGCCCAAAATCCCGAATAATTCCTCATCAACCAACCCTTCAGAATGCTGGTCTTGTCTCAAAACAAACGTGGGCAACTTGCGTCTCAGGCTGGGCCACTTAGAGGCTTGTGTGCTTTGTCGCACACGGCATGTCTGGAAAAAGTCAAATTCAGCATGTTTTCCGGAAATTGGCTTTGCACCCCAAGGTGCAACCAAAGGTCCAACTTTGGAAACAAGCACACACCTCAAAGCCCCCTCAGGCCGTCGAGGCCATGAGTGTGTTTAAGGGTTTTGGGGTGAAGTACATCATCCTACTTGGACCCCATGCGAAACAAACTTGTAGTGTTGCGAACACTGGTCAGAAGAAGCTCCCGGAAAAAACAAAACGTGCCAAGCAAATTCTCGCCGGAAATGGGGGCGTCAAGCTGCAAGCCCTGCAAATCCAGCATATGTTGCCTGGTTGGGTCTGTTTTCGAAGACAACTGCATCGCTCCCTGTTAAAACTGCGGCTTGCCCAAACTATGCCGCTTGCGAGCTTGGAAGCCGGTTCCATTCATTTAGCCCCAGCGGTCCCACCAAACCTAGACGACGTGCACCCTGAATAGATTATGACCGATCTGTGAGTGTGGCGATTCGGCCAAGGTCTTCCTGGTGGACCCATACACGGATAACCAGGGTCAAGGGCTACGCGGTAAAGGTTGGCTGTCGAGGCTGCCAGCGCTAGCTGGGTTGCGGTTGACTTACACAGCAGCCTGGCCTTGCTTGGGGTACATTGCCTTTTGCTCTACCAACCTCAATGTCAGGCAGCCACACGTCATATCCTCGAGCCCACCCTGGACACTACGCCAAATCAGAAGATCCTAATTTAATGTACTGTAGAATTGAGGCATATATTGCTTCAGAATTGCTTTAAAAATGGCAAGGGTTGCCAGTTATCGAGGGTAACGCGTGTATTCCGATCAGCGCCCACATGCCCCAAAAAGTGGAACACCAGTAGGCCGGGAAAACACACACACACACACAAACACAGGAATTGGCAAACTTGCAACGCCTAAAGGCGCACGCATCAGGCCATCATCGACATCTTGGCAGAAGCCTTGCTCAGTAAGAACGGCTAAGCAGCCCCAGCTTCCAGAGTCGCAAACTTGCATGCTTGTTTTTTACAGAACACACTGGACAAGTTGAGCAAAAACGGTTTCCAAGTCCTGACGGCCCACAGATTTTATCTCCTGCAGGGCTCCAATGTCACGGGGCATGGGCAGGCTGAACACACTCCTCATGGGTCGCTGTACCATTGATGAGGTTTGGCGTTGTTGGACTACCAGGCCAATTTAGCCATTGTCGAACGGCTATCAATGATGAGTGACCTAATTCGCTGATGCTGCTCCCTCAAGCGTTTCTCGGGGAGGCATGTTCTGAACATCAGCATCGGGTTAGTAAAGCGCTTGATTGCAGCCTCAATGAACTCACGCATTGGCTCCAACTCTGCATGAGACTAGTCCAGCTACAAATCCCGCAGCCACGAAACCCCCACACCAAGAAAAAGGCCACAGTTTGCTCAGCACCTGCTTGTTTCTACTCCCCTCTTCGAGTTGCCCAAAACTGGCATCGTTGGGTTGGATTCCTGGGCTAGCGTGCTCTAACCCACTTGATGCACTGCAGTCGAAAGATCTACAAAACAAAGGGTCAAAAGGCGCAAGGAAGGCATGGGTTGAACACAAGTGATTGAAGCATTAGTGCTGGAGTGTGGAAAGATATATGCCCCTCGCCTAGGATCGAGCGGTTGGGCCCGGAAAGTGTCCAAGCACGTACATGGGCCCTCCCTGCATGCTGGCCACATTTTGGGGGCAAATGCTGCCTAGAATCTCGCGATCAAAAAGCCAGACCATGTGGGGTGCTTAGTTACTGATCGGTGTTGTTGGTCCCCCTATGCCCCAAAAGTGTCTCAGCATGGACGCGGCCTCAAACCTGGTCTGAGCATGTACGGGAATTAGAAGTACTTCCTCAGAAGCTACGCGGGACCCTAAGGGTTGTTGAACTCCCCAAGTAAAAACACATCACTGTGGGAGCCCTGTGTTTTGCACTTTTCGACCTTTTTGGACCAAAGAAGCATCACTTTGGGGGCCAGTGTTTTGAACCTTTTGAACTTTGCTGGTCTCTCCAAATCAAGAACTAGGATTTGAGGGACCTTGTTTACCGACCTTTCTGTTTGTCCTTCTGTCCAGGACACTCCTTTTTGTATGTTTGTGGATGTTCAGATACTTATTCTTTGTAACAGGCACATATTTTCCGCCAGGCTGATGCCAGTGTTCGGATTATGATTGTGTATGGCTGTGACTTGTTAAAGGTGCGTGACGCCCGACACAGGAATCTTGGTATAAGGAGGTATGTGACGGGGGCTCATGTTAGTCTGTCATGAGAGAAAAGTGCGTGACACTTCCGCAGTTCCAGCACGAAAGTCGCAACTGCTGATTCGTCCGGCCCCTTCCCTGCTAATTACCTGTTGCAACTTTTCTTCCCTCTGCGGGGATCGTGCGTGTCGAAGCGCTCTCGCTGTGGCGCCGTGCAAGTTTGTTGCTTGCGAGCTGGTCTTTGGAAGTTGTCGCGTGCTTTGCGCGTCGGAGTCGTGCGGTCGCGGGTTCGATCCCGCAGCTTTTCTAGACAGAAATCGCAACTTTTCAAGTGCAAACCTAGTATGCGGAGGACACTCCCGCAGCTCCGGCTGGAAAATCGTAACTTTTAAGTACAAACGTAGCGCGCAGCGCGCAGAGTACATTCCCGCTGCTCCGTCTCAAAAATCGCAACTTTTAAATACAACCGTAGTACGCGAAGACTATTCCCGCAGCTCCGGCAGCACTTGCACAGAGAAACTTGCACGGAGCAATTTGCGCAGAGCACTTGCGCAGCGCAACTTGCACAGAGCAACTTGCACAAAGCTGCTTGCGCAAAGCATTTGCACAGAGCATTTGCGCAGAGGAACTTGCGCAGAGAGACTTGCACAGAGCAACTTGCACAGAAAAACATGTGCAGAGCACCTTGCGCAGAGCAAGTTGCACAGAGCAACTTGCAAAGAGCATTTGCGCAAAACACGTGCACAAAGAACTTGCAGAAAGCACTTGCACAGAGCAACTTGCACAGAGCAACTTGCAAGCAGAGAAACTTGTGGACTTCCGCAGAGAAACTTGCGCAGAGCACTTGCGCAGAGGCGCTTGCGTAAAGCAACTTGCGCAGAGCAACTTGCACAGGGGACTTGCGAGGGCAACAGGCGCAAGTAACTTGCGCGCGGAGAAACTCGTGCAGTCTTGTACAGAGGAGGCGTGGGGGCTGATCGCGGGGTTGTGATGCTTTCGGGCCAACCGTGGTCTCGTTGTATGTTTATATCTATAGGTTTCATATTTTCTATACACAGTTATCATTTTTTCTCTGCTTTTATGTTTAGTATCGTTCCTACTAGAAGACACAATAGATACAAAGCTCAGGCGAAGTGCCCGGTAGCTAGACTATCTACTTCCTTCCCCATATATCCGAATTATTACATTATCTTGCCACGAGACTTCCTAGCGGGGTTTCATGGTGCAAGCGGGGCCCCCGGGAAAGTGCAAACCGCCAATCCAAGCCACCTCACTGCCGGTTTTGCTGAGGACGCCGCCTTGTGATTTTGTAAAGCAAAACCAAGGGTGAATGTGCACTCGCGCCCTGGTCGGCGCCCGGCGGGGCAATCGGGGCCCGATCGGGGCCCGACACTCAAGCGGCCCGAGCGACACCCGACGGTGCAATCGGGCCCCGACCGGGCCCTTCCCGTGGCGCAAGTGGGCTCCCACCAACCCCAGCCACCCACAGCTCAACGCCGGCTTTCCTTAGGATGCGGCCTTATAACTGTGTCTAGCAAAACTAGGCGATGCCAGCTTGGCACAGCTGACGGGGCGCGACTGAGGCAATCGGGCCCTGGTCAAGGCCGGACCCTGACGGCGCAATCGGCCCCCGACGGTGCAATCGGGCCCCGACCTGGGCCCATGGAACCCTCGTCATGGATGGAAGAAACTTGTTTGGAACCTTTTCTCAGGGCTGCCCCACAGCTTTTGCAGAACCTGGTGGAAACCTCGTGGACCGTTTGTGGAACCCTCGTGGAACCTTACCCCATTTACTCTGCTGCGCACTCAGTCCCGCAGCAACCTGATCTGATTTGCCACAAAGGGCCGCGTTGCCTGAGCCCGTGAGCGAAAGTGTGCTGAAACCATTGATTTCGGTTTTGCTTAGTGTTCCGCCCATCTTGTCGAACCTTGCAGAACATTTGTGGAACCCTCGTGGTGGAACCCTCGTGGAATCCTTGTGGACTGTGGGGCCCTGTGGAACCTTACCTCAGGGCCGCCTCGGACCACCCCACAGCCCCCGCAGAACCTCGTGGAACCCTGGTGAAACCCTGTTAAAACCTGGTGGAACTGGTGGAACCCTCATGGAACCTTACCTCAAACCACCCCGGACCACCCTGCAGCCCTCGCAGAACCTGGTGGAACCCTGGTGGATGGTGGAACCCTGGTGGAACCCTGGTGGAACCCTCGTGGAACCTTAGCTTAGGGCCGGACCACCCGGAGCCTGTCTGGGCTGAGACCCCAAAGCTTTCAGCTGTTGGGGAAAAACTATTTAATACTCCTAATATGTTCAGACAAAGAGGATTGCACTGCATCCGCGCTTTGACTCATCGAACCGAGAGTTGGGGCTCCGGAGCTTGGGGAGTCTCTTAGCATCTCTTCATTGGAACAAGCCCTCTTGCTCACCCTGATTGCTGCGGCGGCTCAAAGACTGAAAGGCCGCCTCGGCATTCCCGAACTGCACGGGCTTCTGATTGACAGGACCCACCTGTAGGCTCCTGCAGCCAAACTGCAACTTCCTTGCTCATGCTCAGGCCTCTGCTGGGCCAAGTTTTCCACAGCTATTGAATGTCAAGAGCTCAAATCTGTTCGTGCTCCAAACCGGCGAGCTCCATAAGCTGCGTTCCTACACTAATGTTCCCATCAGCTTTGGTCAGCTGAAGTCAGGCGCTGTCCTTGGGAAGAAGTTTGCCAGAAAGGCAGCCTGCACCGTCGAGCTTGTCCCAAAACTATTCAGCTCACAATCTTGCTTGTCTGAAGGCTAAATCTTGTGCGATTTGAGGCTAAACTTTCAAAAAATCAACACACCGCGCAGGTTTGCGAAAGGTCAACCCCGTTGCCATTTCTTCCAGCCATGGCCAACTTGTTCCAGGCTGTCTGGAGCTTTAAGAGCTTTGCTGCGGCTTTGCTCCAGGAGAGAAATACAATGCTCGCCGACCCTATGTTCTGGCCTGGCAGGTCTTGTCCACCGCAGTCGGATAGCCAGGGAAATAGAAGGCAACAATCCCGGCATCCTTGACTGGGCCTCCAAGTTAGCGTGTTTCTGACAGTGGCAAAAAGACAACCAGCTGCCAGCTGAAATCAGAGCTGTGTTCAGCCGACAGTCCTAAAGAAGCATAGGCACATTCTATTCCTGCTCCCAAGGTGCCAACGCCAGCCGTTCCTACCTCAAATGGGAAACATGGTAGGAACTGCGCAGTTGATGAAATTGTGTCTTGGCAGGAAAGCCTCTGTGAAGTATCCGGCTTCTGGGATTCAAAAGCTTGCAAGTGTACGGACTTGACTGAAGTAATCTGCCAACATGGCTGAGAGCCTACTGGCCTTTATCGAAGAAAATCCGCCGAGGCCGCTGAAGAACCGCAAGTTCTCCTTGCATGCGAAGCATCTAAAGTATCCGTGAGTTCCCACTCATATTGCAAACCTTCCTCTGCTGCACCCTCAAGTCCAAAATCTGGTCATTTGTGTTCAGGATCATTGGAACCGCATGAGCACTCTTGAAAATTGAGTATCACAGCCAGAGCGAGCATGGCAAATTGAGGTCCTTTCGAATTAGGTTTTGGGCCAGCGCAGCCGGCAGGTCCAACAGTTCGGGCACAGTCTCCAAAGCCATCGATTTCCATAGAGCCAGCAGTCCACGAAGTCCCCTCAGCACGCTGCAAGAAATTTCAAGCGCTACTTCCTCTTGAGACGCAACAATTCTAGGTTCCTCACTGTATGCACAGGTGCCGCACGAGTCAAAGATCGATCCCGGTGATGCAAGTTGCCTCATGTCTGACAATGCAATTTCAGACAGTTTGTCAGCAGTGATAGACATATCGTCTGGAATCCAGAAAAAGCCCTCAAACAAACAGGCACTGGCGAAAGTTGCATGCGCAGCTGATTCGCATCCAAGACTGCAGCCGAAGCTTTGGAATACACTGACAGGGCCATCCCGAGAGAGGGTCAGTTTTCGGTCCAAAGGCACAAACATGCCATACAAGAAAATTGAGAGTATGCCTCTGCTCTGGCCCAGGAACTACGTGCTCCGCGTGTACTGTGAGCTAGATCATTGACACCTGGGCTTCGGCAGTGTGGAGCTTGTGTAGATGCCTAAGCTAGGCCAAGCCTTGCAAGCGATGATGGCGGTGTCTTAGAGCTTTGCAAACCGAAGATATTTTTAAACACTCACTTGATTCATCCGGTGCTCCCCTAACCCAGTTGCACATTGCCCAGAATCCCCGGAGTTGACCCGGGATCACTGCAGCTCAAGCTGCTCGGCCACGAGCTGCGCCGTGACTATGACCCCGTGGGCCTTGGCCTTGTGGCAATGACGCAGCCGTCACACCATACTGGGGAATTCGCAGACTTTAGGACACACCGAAATTGAAACAGCCTATGAAGAACCAACATGTATTTCAACAGATTGTGCAGCCAGTTGCCGGTCGCTCCAAAACAGGCGCCGTAATCTTCAGCGGCGTATTCTGCTGCTTGCCTGCTTTGCCATGCTTTGCATCCGTCATGTTTCCTGCGCAAAAGGTACTTGGTAAGCTACCAACAACCAGGCAAAAGGTTCAATTGGCAGCCGCCAATGTTCTGGGTCTTAATGGTGGTGCAATGCTCCTTGGATGGAAATGAGGAATCATGTATCTCTGCTTTACCGTGCCAAGTGCCTTGCTTTACACCACATGTATTGGATGTAAGCCTTGAAACATGTCCTAAACGACCCGCGACGCTTTGGGAAAGGCTTTTTAGGTTGCCTAGCATGCTCCAACTATTCAGTGGCTGGGTGTCAAGCAAAGCGTGAACGTGAATTTGACTTGGTTGTAACAGTGTGTTGGGACCGCCCGCACGCATGCGTGTCATTGCTAGCGTTAATGTCTCTGTGCCAACCATAGCCTTCAAGGTGACTCTCCGCTTGCACGCTGACTCTTGCGCACAGGGTGAAACATCGGGATCCACTAGGTGCATCAGCGACAAAGACGTGACGGAGCCAGTGGGTGAAGTTCCCCGCACTGGTGGAGTTCCAGTGGGTATCAATCGCCAAAAGCGCTAGACTCCTGACGCTACACGAAACGCTTTACGGGGGGCACTGAAGAAGCCGCAATGACAAGGAGCCATGCTGCCCCAGCCGACTTTCAGCCAATCATCGAGCCAATCAGGAGATGAGTCAACGTAGAGCACAAAAACTTCAGAAAGAAGCACACAAGAACGATTACCTGCTGGTGAGCAGTTGCCTTGATGTTCATTGTCCAAGCTCACCTCTTAGAGGTGCAACGTGAGCGCCTAGTGTTTGACCGAATTCATTTTTGTGCCAAATTGGCCACCTCTCTGGCTCTCCCTCTCTGTGGTGGTGCTTGAGTAGACGTTGCAGGGCAGTTGCTGACTAATCTGGGTATGCGCACGTGGGCGTCAACATTTAAGCACAAACAGTCAGCCGGGTTGTCACATGGCGTGTCAGCCATCAGAGGCAGTAGCCTGCTAGTCTGCTACCTGCTTCCGTAGAACTTGAAATGCTGTCCATGCTTGTTGGAGCAGTGCTGTTCATGCAACCAGCATCTTGCTTTTGACTCGTGCTTGTGATTGCGTTGCATCCCTTGTTGGCCCTACAGCTTGGCAGCACGAGGTGCGTCACTACTATTGGCACAACTGGATCGAGTGTCTACATTTCGTCAGCTCAACAACAATGCACCAATTTGTCATGTATCAGCACCTTCTTCAATGCCTATCGTGCACATTCGGCAAGGCAGCATCAAGTGTAGGTCAGCTCACTGCTGACCACACATTACCAGGCAGCGGGCCCGCAAAGCTAGTGGGTCTGGCTGAGCGGGCACAGTCTGCCTGCAGGCCAGCGCTGTCTCTTCAAACAAATCCGGAGGGGTCGTCCCTTCAGCACAAATCCCACACCCTTCCTTTTCCCGTCTCAAATCTCGCTGGGAGCGTCATCTTTCTGTTCAAGCAGAACCCTGAGCCCGACCGCCTCTTTGCTTCCACGATACATATTCTTTTGCATGCCTAGTCGCCATGGCAAATCCATCTCGACATTGCAGACTACCTCACTCTTTGTTGCGCACGCGTGCTAAGTTACCGGTGTGGCTTTAATCCGCTTGACCTCAAGGCCTCAGAGCAAAGGCCTTGCCCAGCAAGCCCGCCACATGCAAGCAAGTTCAAGGGATGCCCAGGCACAATACTCTCCAGGCTGTCGGTTCCAGGTGGGCTTGCAGCAGCCTGGTGCATTGCAAATTGGCGCTGCCTAGGTTTGCTGACAAACTGTGATGGCATCGAGTTGCTTGGGGTCTATGCACGACTCAAGACATCAACTGGCGTTCGGCCCAGTGGCCGGTAGAGCAGGACCGCAGCTGAGATTACGCATTCCTGCACAAGGATTGCAGGGATGGCAAGCTTCTTGTGAAACAAACCCAAATTGCCAAACCACTTCTCAACCTTGGCCAACGCATAGCATCGCAACCGCGTCCATCAACTTGACACATCAGAAGCCTTGCCGTGGAGCAGGCATCCCCGAGCCGGTGCCAGGCTGAAAGCGAGGATAACCTGCCTTATGAGCTTCCCAGCATCACATGCCCAACTCTTGCAAGGGAGAGTGTCTCACTATGGAGGCCGTTGTGGTGGCTGGGGAGGACACTGAGGAACTTGACCCAAAGAACGCTAAAAAGCAAAGGAGTTTGCCTCCCATCAGAGAAACAGCTGTCCCCACTCGCCAAAACGCTTGGCCAGCGCATGTCTTTGAATGATCTCTTTCCAAGTGGCGTGATAATGGAAATGCCCCTGCTCACAATATCCGAAAGCACCAGAGAATGGAAAGGCAAACAAGGTTTACACCTCCGCTTTATGTTCCAAGATGCTGTGGACTGCGCAGGATTCCGCGCTGTCACAGCATCCCCTGGTCAGCGGCGACTTTTTGCACAAGTTGGGACTGCACGCCCTTACATGTCCGTTTTCAATGTTCACCGAAGTGCACAACGAAAACAAAACGGGTGGGCTCAATTATTTGTTTGCTTTCTTTCATAGCAGGCGGAACCAACCCCCCAGACCAACCCTAAACCATAAACCAACCCTCATTGTACATTGCATATTCATCATGGCCGAATATTACCTCGTGACCATGTATGCATGACATGTGAAGGCAACCCACCAAGAAGCATCTATTGCAAAGGCGCCCATTCGAAGTGGCTTTCGTACCTGGAGTTAAAAGGGATGGTCAAAGCCGTCCTGCACTATGCCATCCTCCTACTCCCCAACTACTGGCCCAGGCGCCTCGGTCCCGTTCCCCTGGTGGAGTCCACCGCATTGCAGGCGCAAAAGCGACACTGCTTGAGCCCAATAAATGCGCAGCTACTTGTCAGGGACACGGACAACACGTGAGTTCAGAAGTGCGCCGTGTGTCCAAGCCCCAAAGCAGCGCTTGGCTTTGCTCACGCTTTTGCGCCTTGGGCCTGCCAAAGTCTTGCCAAGTTCATGCGCGCGAGGAGGTTTGCAAATTCAGGAAACGAGATTCCTCACCTGGACCGCAATCTTGGGACCCAAATGTGGCCAGTGTTCGCTGCTAAAACTTCCATTGCACGGCTTGCGTCTCTTGACGAGATTGCGATCCATCCAAACCGGTACAGAATTCTCACTGCAGCATCGCAGCGCGGAACCAGTGTGTGTCTCTACAAAGGGCAACCTCAAGTCGGTCTTTGTCGTTCTGATTTTCAACAGTTTCGCTTTGAGGACTCCGGCTCTTGAGACGCACCCAAAGCCGCAGTCTCCGCCTGCTGGTTGAAAGTTTAGCCTCAGTGATCCTTTCTGCGGCCGCAGCTCAACCTGGCACAAAGTCGGGAAAATTATGCGTTGGTTCAGGTGGTGGTGGTGGTGGTGGTGGTGGTGGTGGTGCGGACGGGGGGAGCCCCTCAAACACTTGCTTGTTGTTGGAAATAAAAGGACAGCATGGCCAAATCTCATCCAGAAGACCAGAACCAAAACTGTGGTTGGGGCACATTTGAACAGCAACAACACGACGTCCAAGTGCAAAAATGGCATCTGCAGGTATTTCTACAGGTAGTGTGAATTACATGATGTAAAGGCGCTGACTTGGAACACCTTCGGTACTGTTGACATGCCGGGCACGCCTCCGTGGAGCCGGAGACCTCGATCCTTGCACTCGCACTTGGCAAGTAAAGGATCTCTATCAACAAAAGAGCACCCCCTCGTTGACAAAACAGGCGATAAACGGGATCGATTAATCCTATGTCAACGTTACTTGTTACTTGAAGCAAGGCTCGTCGCTTAGTCGCCACGCCGAGTCCAGGCCATTCAGAATCGGAGAGACCCCAGCTGAAGAAGCTCAGCCATCCTAGAGACTCAAAATGGCAAACCCAAAAGATTGAGAGACAAATTGATCCAGGAATCCTCATGTTCGAGAAAAGCGTGCAGGAGAGTTGCCAAAAGCCAACGTGGGAAGAAAGGCCGAAGCGTAAGCTGCTGACAAGAGATTCATGCACCAACGGAAGCGTCGCCTCTCTCCAACCCAAATGAGCTTTCTGGAAAATCACTCCCCTTCAAAGGGAGGTTCCCTACTAGTGGATGTAGTGCGGGGGATGCAGAATTCACAGATAACATCATTGATATAAGAATAAAGTAATATGATAACATGATATTTAACATGATTAGAAAGTAAAAATCGAGATGTTCAAAGAAGATCGTGAGATCCCACATACCAGAACATAGTTTACAAATCATATGTATTCTCTTGGTATACATTATGTGTGTTTCTATCTTGCATGGCTTCATGTTGTGATGATAGCTCCTCTACAATCCCACTAATGTTCAACTTGTGGCTAGAGCTTGCTTTGGGCCTTCTCCTTAGCATTTATTACTTGCTGACGAGAATTGTCCAAGATCCGTCCGGTGGGAGGTAACATGAAGAAAGACGAGAGAAGTAAATAGAGTGGTTGTGTTGCAAGGCGTCGCGGTGAGGGCACGCACCATGGACAGCTGAGAACTTCATCTGCGGGAGTTCACTGCAGGAGTTTCTTGGCCAGAGATTGCAGTGGCCAGAGCCCTTCGGGCAACGTTTCCTCCCACTATTCCAACCCACCCTCTTTCCAAGGCTACAACAGACACGAGCGCGAGGGGGAACACAATGTACTTTGTCTTTGGAGATATTTGTATCCTTGGAATGAGGTCCGTGGCTGATTGCAGGACACCCACACACACCCAGCAAATCAGGTGCTCCTTGGCCACGGTCCTTCTCTTCCTGAGCAAGCAGCAAAAAGCCGTTAGAATGAAGGGGCGCTTGCACGTGGGGGCACCGGACTGGGCTCATGGTTTCCCAGGTGGAAGGAAAGCACCGGGGCCGCAATCCAGACTCTTGACCAATGGCGGCGCTGCAGCCTGTTTCAGGATGCCCCCAGATCACAGATCTACCAACGAGACAAACCCTGGACCCGCCGCACTCTGCAAGCGGTTAGCCTGTTTGTGCGCCGAGCTGCTTCCAGAGACTTCCGGACTGTGCTGGAGGCCTGTGCGACCAGCCTCAGCCAGTCCCTGCTGAGAAACTGACCGGTCTTCACGTTCACGTGCTTCCTGAGTAGACCAAACAGGCCTAGAAATCAACTTGGGGGTGAACTACAACTGGCACTTACAGCATGGTGCAGTTCTCACTGCCCATCTTGGCTGGCTTGACCAAGAAACCTGAGCCAAGAAGTCCACACGAAATCCGTGGAGCGCAGTTCCTCACGTAGAAGCATGAGCTGCAAGCCCAACCAGTTCTGGCCGGTGCCATCGCAGTTGTCAGACCAAATGCCTTCACCTCACTCAGACTAGCGGCAGCCGTGAAAAGCACGTCGCAGTTCTTCTGAGGCAAGGGCGGGGAGAAGGGCTGTGCTCCAATAGGATGCTATTTCCAGTGGCCAGCAGCATCTGACACAATTCCGAGTCCTCAGTCCATTGTAACAAAATGTGGGCAGCTTAAAACCCCCCCCTTCAGACTTGGCATGGTTGAATTATATTCAAAAGGGAACCCCAAGGAAACCCGCTCTGCGGGCCCATTGTTGAGCCCCGGTCGACAACAAAACGCTTAGCAATGTCTTCCGCATGCATACAGGTCCTGAAACTTGTGGATGAGAACGTGGCGCATTGCTGCCCAATTGCCTGCAAGGCATCTTGAACTCAAAGCCCAGTGTGGATCTCAAAGCCCAGTGGGATAGTCAAATTTACATGCACGGCTATAGCGCAAAATCACCCACGCATGGAAACAGAAGGTCGTCCCCAAGGAGTGGTTAGCAGGGCCCATTTTTTTTTTCCCTGAATGTACCGTGCTTTGTGGAAGGCTCGGAGCTTCACTTGCCTGCCTGCCTGCCTGCCTGCCTGCCTGCCTGGTTCAATTTGCGGCTTAGTCGCTGCCATGTCCAGCATAGCTGAAGTCCTCATTGCCGCGCAGTAGTTGCTTCTTCCGAAAGGCATGCGCCCCTGATATGTTCTGGAAATCCCTCCGGCGGGTCCAGAACTTCCTTGGAACACAGTTCGGTGGCATGACACCCTCCAAGATAAACGTGTGAGTTGGCAGACTGCCGCACAATCGCAAGGGGGAGTGTGGGGCTTGCCAGTATCGTCAGCATCGCCCGGCCCAAAGGCCAAGACCGATCTCAATAAGGCAAAAGCCACCAAATGGTTAGTACACAACGAGTGGAACACGTGTGAGGGCAGAACAAATGCACTCAATTGCAATGCGACTGCGTGAGCGCAACTTCTAACAAGGAGCCCATCAAGGGCAGTAGTTGGTTGTGTTTGCTGTATCATCTTCACGGCCCGGTGCTGCTGACCATGCAGTGGTATGTACTTGAGAAGCAGGGAACGAAAGCTAGCGTGTGGCAAGGCATTGGCGTGTCCGTGGTCAGTCCTGGCCTCCACTCATGCCATCTCATCGTGTGTCGTTTTGTCTGTGCCTTTTGCAGGGCAATCTGGTCCTACAACATAGGACTTACCCCGTTGAAACTCCAAGCCCTGGGGGCCTGGGGAGATTTAGCTCTTACGGCCATGTAGCCCTAGTTAGCCTCTAAAAAGGCGATTGAAATAATCTGGGTCGTTTCCGAAGTGTCATACTTGCGCCAAGCGTAGTACAGACCTGATCCAACACCCGCAACCCGTAATCTGCATCGAAAATCCACGCAAACCCATAATCTGCAGTCCGCTAGCCGCATGAGCTACTCCGTAAACCGCACAATCCGCAACCCGCTAATCAATGCTGCTTCCAATCAAAGACGGCCCTAGGATTAAGACTGAACAAAACGCATTGTTCATCTTTAGTCCTTTGGGAAGCACGTAGCGGGTAAAGGCTTCAGTGTTTAAACACGTGGGGTCTCCTGAAGCAAGGACGGCCCTGGGACTAAGAATGCAACAAGAGGACGATTGCGGGCATTTTTCCCCAAGCGCTCTTCCAGCCGCGGAGACACCCTTTTACATCGATGCGGCGAGCGTGTCTGCACGCGGCGATGCTCAATGTGTATGGTCACATGAGAGCTCCATCTCGTCCTACAAGAGGAAACATGGCAGTGTCTGCGCAAGCTGCTTTGTTCCAGGCTGCTGCGCGCAAGTTGCTCTCTGCAAGCTGCTGCACGCAAGTGGCTCGACATCTGTCTTCAAGCTGTTCTGCGCACGTTGCTCTGTGCAAGTTTCTCTGCGCAAGACGCTCGGCGCTTGTCTCTGTGCGCAAGATGCTCAGCCTGGGCTGAGCTGTGGAGGTGCTCCGCGCGCTATACGTCTGCGCTTCAGGGTTGCGATTTTCCGGTCGGAGCCGCCAGGAGTACACTCCACATACTACGGCTTCTTTGCTGCAGCCGGAGCTGCCGCGGACCAGGGGAAAATCGAACCCGCGACCGCGTGATTGCAAAAGCCTGCGCGCAAACCACGACACAACTTTCCAAGGCCATTTCGCGAGTAAGAAAATCGCACGGCGCCACAGCGAGAGCGCTTCGACACGCACGATCTCCGCAGAGGGTTGGCCGAGACTAAAACGAATTCGCACGGCGCCACAGCGAGAGCGCGTCGACACGCACGATCCTCACAGAGGGTTCATCCGCGCGCCGCAAAAACGCAAAAACAAAAACCTCAAGTTTTTGCACCTCGACCACGCCGATCCCTGCAAAGGGTTCAAAACGCACAAAGCCTCGAGTTTTTGCACCTCGACCACGAGGATCCCCGCAGAGGGTCAGGGTCGCGCGGGCACCTCAAAAACGCAGAGTTTTTGCACCTCGACGACGCCGATCCCCGCAGAGGGCCGCGCGGACACCGCAAGAAACCTCGAGTTGTTGTACGGCGCGCCGCAAAAACGCAAAAAAACTCGAGTTTATGCACCTCGACCAGACCACGCCGATTCCCCACAGCGGGTCGCGCGGGCGCCGCAAGAATCGCAAAAAACCTCGAGTTTTTGTACCTCGACCACGCCGATCCCCGCAGAGGGTTCATCCGCCCGCCGCAAAAAACAAACGCAAAAAACCTCGAGTTTCTGCACCTCGACCACGCCGATCCCCGCAGAGGGCCGTGTGGGCACCGCAAGAGTCGCAAAAAAACCTCGAGTTTTTGCACCTCGACCACGCCGATCCCCGCAGAGGTTCGATCGACGATCAAAGTCCTGCCCCGGCGCCCTAGAAACCTAATCTTAACTTACATAGCTGCTAACGCCGAAGCGCTATGCACTTGGCTCTACGCACTTGGCTCTATGCGCTTGGCTCTATGCGCTTGGCTCTATGCACTCGGCTCTGTGCACTCGGCTCTATGCGCTCGAGAAATGCACTTGGCTCTATGCACTTGGCTCTATGCACTTGGCTCTATGCACTTGGCTCTATGTGTTTGGCTCTGCGCAAGTGACTCTATGCAAGTTGGTCCGCGAGCTCCGCGCGGAAGAACCCTTCGCGATGCTTTCGGGAAAAAGCGCAGTTTTCGTCTTGAATCTTTTGGGAAGCGCGTGGTGGGTAAAAGCTTCAGTGTTTAAACAGGTGCGCGGGGTGTCTCGAATCAAAGATGGCCCTGGGATTAAGAATGAACAAAGCGCATTGTTCATCTTTAGTCTTTAAAACTTTAAAAACTGCGTAGTGGGTAACGTAGCGTGTAAAATCTTCAGCGTTTAAACAGGCCTGCGGGTTCTCCTGAAGCAAAGACGGCCTTGGGGTTAAGAACGAACAAAGCGCATTGTTCATCTTAATCTTTTCGGAACGCCTAGTGGGCAAAAGCTTCTGTATTGGAACAGGTGTGTGTGGGGTCTCTTGAACCAAAGATGGCCCTGGGGTTAAGAATGAACAAAGCGCAGTGTTCGTCTTTAATCTTTTGGGAAGCGCGGAGTGGGTAAAAGCTTCAGTGTTTAAACAGATGCGCGGGGTCTCTCGAATCAAAGATGGCCCTGGGATTAAGCACGAACAAAGCACATTGTTCATCTTGAACCTTTTGGGAAGCGTGTAGTGGGTAAAAGCGTCAGTGATTGAACAGGCGCGTGGGGTCTCTTGAGCCAAAGATGGCCCTGGGATTAAGAACGAACAAAGCGCATTGTTCATCTTTATTCTTTCGGGAAGCGCGTAGTGGGTAAAAGCTTCAGTTTGAACAGGTGCGCGAATCAAAGATGGCCTGGGGTTATCGCTTAGGATTCCTGTGTTCCACATTGAGCAACTAGAACTGACTGTTCATAACACGTCTACACACAGAATCATGCGTGAGAGTTGCGCGACGCGCTTTGCTTTGCAATGGATGGATGGCGTTGATTTTTTGGTCTGCGAATCAAACTTCGAACATCTATTGACGCCGAGCGAGCCAATGGAAACAGAACAGACGACTACCCGCAGCGGAGGTGGACCAGGGTGGATTCAAGCTCACTGGGCTCGCCTGATATATCAGCCCTTTGGGGGCGGCCCCCCCCAAAAAAAAGGGCAACATCTCTGACAAACAAGGGGGTGGGGGGGGGGGTTCGGCCTGATACATCAAGGTTTTTTGGGGGGGGAGGGGGGGGGGCCCCCCCTCCACGACCCTCACAACCAGTGAGAATTCAGGCCCCAATGGCTAACTCAAGCTCTTCGACCGCCCCTTCTCGGCAAGCTGAGGTAAACAAAAACTTCAGCCTAGCTCCAAGGAGCTAGCTTTCGTGATTACTCTTGTGACTCTTCTGAACAATGCACAAGCGAACGAACATATCTGCAGTGAGTCTCCTTGATGAAGCAGAATGCAACGTCTGGTTCAACACGCAATTAGCCTCAGTCACCTGTCAAAGAAGAAACGACTGCAATTGTGAGACTGGTTCGATTGCTCCTTCCACCAGAAAAGGTTTCGCTGCATCGGCAAGAGGCACAGACCAAAGTTGCTGCCATGTCTCAGAGACTGAAAGGCTGCTTCCGCGTTTGAAAACTCTTCTGTATGACTGCAGAGGGAGTCGCTGACGTGCAGTCTCCTGGTGGTTCGAAAGAATCTGCCGAAATTCAGAACCGAGCATGGCCTCTCAATGCATGCCCAAGGAGAATCTGGGATCACTTGGCTTTTTGCGCGACTGCAGCAGCCCCGAATGAATAGCAATTGAACATATGAACAAGCGTTTTGAGTAGTGCCAGCCCAGGCTTGGCAAACTGTGTTTCTTCTGCCGATGACTGGACACAAGTATGCCCGTTGACCGCTTCGCAAAGTGAGCGGTGTCTCAGAACTAGGAGTACTTGCACCCATTGCGAATAACCAAGCGAAACCAAAAAGCAACCAACCAGCTCTTGGGCGCTTCGGAGGCAACAAGCTTGAGTGACGGCACAATCCGGAAGTCCAAGTTGCCACACAACTGCTGAGCTTCCCACTCATGCCTCCTCTCTCTTCGAAAGGAACCCCTTTCCTGGAGTAGAAGTTGCCGAGGAACATGGCCTTCCAGGTTGTTGAAATCATTGCAGCGCCCTACCATCCAAAGGCCAGGCCGGCAAAGGCCATGCAGCCGAAAACACGTTCGAGCGCCCAAAATGAACCCTGCCCTCAAACTGTCCGCTTCTGTAGGTTGTCTGCAGGGGACACACCTATTGATCAAAGGAAGCAATGGCCTGGCAAAGCTGGTCCACGGGCGTCTGAAAGCCGGGATAGTAGAAAGCAACGATCCCTGGATGTTCTGAAGGCAGTCCTGACAAAATCAACACGGCCTTCACAATGTACAATTTTACCAAAACAACAGCATGTACGGATTTCCGAGGCAGTCTCAACCCTCAGGCCTTTGCCGGTAAATGGAATGGGGCGCGGCTTGGCAAGTTTGCCTGCGGCGGTTCTCAAAGAAACACAAGATGTCATCAAACATGTACAAGCTTCCGTCAGACACTCACACAATACAGCTTGCTGCACAAAACAAGAACATAAACACCGAGAATCCTCAAACGACCGGACTATGCTAGCGGGCGCACGCGTACACAAGCCAAATATTTAGCACGGGCAGCGTTTCGAAAGCAGTGCGCTACAAGCAGCGTGGCACCAGCAAATCTATGAACTGAAGCGAAGTAGTAATTGACAAGAAAGAAACAGTTCTACAGTTTAATACCAGGTTTAAATTGTAAAATGATGATTAGAAGCTAGACATGTTAGTAATTGCCGAGAGATGGCGAGGGAACGGTACAAAGGTAACCAACCTGCCACTACTTCATGCATATTGTTCCGGACAAGAAGGTGAAAAGAAGAAGGACAAATGAGATTGTGAAGCAACAAAAAAATGTGTTTTGCGGAGAAACCGTTCCAACGCACTACAACACAGCTCAGGTTCAAGGGGCTGCGCAAGTCTGCAATGGTCTAAGGCCGCCACCGGTGAAATCAGCGGCGTCCACAAGATCCTTAGGTAGTCAACATTACAAAGCGCTGCTTTGCACCTTTGAAGAACAATCCGCTCAAGTCATCAACGCGGGACTCGGCATCTCACAGCTGCACAGATCGTGCAAACAAGCCGACCCGCACATCTCCACAGCCGCGCCGCCCCAGCAGCAGGGACATATGCATGCTGGCAGCGGCGGCTGCCTTATTGGTTCTCTCGATAGAGCAATGCTCTAAATCTGCCACAGTTCGCAAACACGGAGAAAAACTCAGCCCAGCTTCAAAATTCTTCACTCTTGCCGTTCCACGTGGGGTTGGTGCAGCCGCTACGAAGGCATGTGGGTGTTGGTGCCTTGGCCAAGCAGAGAACGCAATCAGTCAATGAGCGCAGCATTGACAGATATTGACGGCAAGCTGCTGCACGTCGACAATTTGCTTCCCCCACGCCTTGGGTCATGGTGCACGATTGCCCCATGCTTTGGCTGCTTTGCCACAGGCACGGCAAAGCGAGGCAACATGGAAGGGCAAGCAAAGGTTCAAGTTGCCAAATGTATGTGTCATTCTGTAAACGGCTGACGTGATTACATGATTAGACCAGGAGACCTGCCTGCTCTGCAGTTCCGCTCAACTCCAAGCAAGTGCCAGCATCAACGTGAAAGTGGCACCGTCTACAGATCCCAAAGCAGGGCACCGCTACAATGAGTTTTCGCGTGGCAACTAAGCTTTCCCCACTGCGCAGATCGCCCTCCTAAGGCAAAACACTGCGGTATCATGAAAGTGATTTGGCAACCCGCCACACGATGCGCAGCTGCAACATTTGGGACCCGCTTGGATTGTAAGGGTGTTGAACTGTGTTTTTGTTGGGTAAAGTCCTCCAGTTTCACCGGCGCTCCTAGACCGCTGGACATGATCTTCTACTCCAAATCCAGGAAGTCTACGCAGGCTTGCTGCCCGGCCAGACACAAGCAAACAGGGAAGGAGTTCGAATGCATTTACAAAGCGGGAGCATTGAATGTACTCAACCAATAAGAAGCCAATACGCCAATACGCATACCTATGTCAATCAGTCCTCAGTCGCGCTGGGGGGTCCCACCAGACATGCCATACGCCCCAAACAGAAGTTCTTGCCAGACCCTTGGGCACTGAGAAAGTCCCAGGGCCACAATTGCGCATGTTATACCAACTGATACAAGCAGTGGGTTGAACGGCCCAATTTTAAAGGCATTCTCCCGAAAGACTTTTGTACCCTTGGCCCAAGGGTTTTGGAGGCCTAAACAAAATCAAACTGAGCCGCGCAGACCAATACTAACTGCACCGACGCCAAGACTCAAACAATCCCCAGCAGCTGCGTTTCGCAAATCATGACGCTTGGCCCAAAAACTGAATCCACCCATCTACATTCTGTATATGCACGCCCATCAAGGCGGGCCTTCGAACAGCCTTGAATAACATCAACGTCGAAGCTCTACTTGCTGTGGCGTCCATGGATACTATACAGAGCTGGACCGCACGAACATCAGCCCTCTACCTTGGTGAAGGTTGAGGCCCTCACCCTCGTGCGACGCAGCAGCAGAGCCATGTCTGACAGCCTTGCAAACAAAGGAAAGGGGGAGCAAGCACCATATATGACGTGCCAAATGGGCACACATCATGTCACGCATCACACATCCCACTCCACATGTGCTGCCCTGCGGCACCAGAAGAAAGGGCTCGCCGATCCCGACATTTCTTGCTGCCTCATCCGAGTACAGGCGAAGCAAGACGCGCAACAACAAGACCACAAGCTGCAACTCCACAACACGTACAGCCCAGGCTCAGTATTCGTCCGGCTTGCCGTTCCAAGTTGGTTTGCTACAGCCCGTGGCACGGCAGACAGGCCTGCTTGCCTTGGCCCAAACAGCCAAGCAACGCAGCCACTGAACACTTTGAGAGCACTCCATCTTGGCAAAGGGGCTTCTCCATGACCTTAGCTCACAAGAAGATTTTGCGGAATCAAGAGCAAGCTCAGACGCTACTTCTGGTGGTGACAAATGAGCACAACATGCATGCCCAATACAGAAATGGCATTTCGCGTTCGACAGCGCATAAAGTTGAATCGAGCGGGGAACATAATAAAGAAAAGAGCGGAGCGAAGGGCAGAGCAAAGGACGGAGCGAAGGGCGGAGCGCCGGGCGGAGCGAAGGCAGAGAGAAGGGTGGGCAGAAGAGATGGGAAGAGGAGCAAAGAGAAGGGCAGAGAAACGAGCGGAGCAAAGGCTGGGCAGAAGACCGAGGAGCAAAGCCAATGGCGGGGAGAAGAGCAGAAAGTAGAGCGGAGCGAAGAGTTGAAAAGAAGAGTGGAGTAGAACGCAGAGTGACCTGCTCCTCAGCACCTCCAGAGTCCAGAGCCCGCCGTCTTGCCACATCTCGATATCTACAGCACAAACAGCGCAGTCAAGTTGAAGTCGCTCTGTTGTTCAAAAAAATGCTGATCGTACACGAGTACAGACGCCCTTGTTAGATTGGTCATGAGTGTCGGGTTTAGTATTTGCATGAGCAGCAAGAACATGTAGACATCGCACTCTAAATCCATGCCAACAGAGGCAGTCGCAAGAGTGTGAGGGCATACCAGCCGTAGGTGTGCAAGCCTTGGATGGAGCAAAAAATGAATCAAGCGTCATTGTACTCGCAGCATGCACCCAGCGTCTTACAGCTTTGCATATATGGATTGTCACACGGACCAACTACGCAGGCCGAATACGTGCCAGGCTGCTCCAGAGCCATGGAAATGTTGTATCTTCTCAGCGCCTTGTCTCCCAGGCAAAACAAAATGCCCACCAAAGCCCGGTGCAACTTGCAAGTTCATTGCATGTTCCAGTCCAGGCTCAGATCTCATCCCCGTCATGGCCATTGCTTATGTTGCCGTGAGGCATGTGACCCTTGGCAAACACTGCTGAGTACTCTCATCACTGGAAACGAGGTGGGTTCAGGCACTACGGGCCGATACCCAGACTGGACATGATGAGTCCAAGCGGCTTGGCTTTGGCTATGAGAGTCGGCCCGACCTCAGCCCACAAAGTTGAATTGCCGTCAGAACTTGCCAAAGCCGCAGGAACGACGCATTGTCAAACCATGAATCTTGTTTTGTCTCACGCCCACCCCATACAAACTTCACCAACAGCGCAGCAGTGCACCCCCAACGCAGCATTTCATGCCAACACGTGCCAAAAACCGGAATTTACTCTTTTCATGCCACCTATCTCAGCTAAGTTGATAGGTCTCCCCAGTCCTGCGCGCATGGACGCACAGCTAGGCTACACTGGGCCCTTTGCTGGCGTGCGAGGGCTTACCAGCCGCAGGCGTACGAGCCTTGGATGGAGCAAAGGATGGATCAAACTCCATTGCACGCGCAGCATGCGCCCAGCTTCTTACAGCTCAGCATCCATGAATTGTCACACGGGCCAACTACCCAGGCCGAATACGTGCCAGGCTGCGCAAAAGCTATCGACATCCCGCATCTCCTCGGTGCCTTGCTTTGTCTCACGCCCACCCATACAACTTCACCAACAGCGCAGCAGTGCACCCCCAACGCTGCATTTAATGCCAACTCGTGCCAAAACCTGAATTTACTCTTTCCATGCCACCTATCTCAACTAAGTTGATACTGGGCCCTTTGCTGGCGTGTGAGGGCATACCAGCCGTATGCGTCCAAGCCTTGGATGGAGCAAAGGATGGATCAAGCGCCATTGCACACGCAGCATGCGCCCCACCTCTCACAGCTCAGCATCCATGGATTGTCACATGGGCCAACTATGGCCAACTACCCCATCCGAATACGTGCCAGGCTGCGCCAGAGGCTCGCATCTCATCCCTGTCATAGCCATTGCTTCTGTTGCCATGAGGCATCTGACCCTTGGAAGAAAAAAACTGAGTCCTCCGATCACTGGACACGATAATATGTCCGAGCGGCGCGGCTTTGGCTCTGAGAGGCGGCCCGACCTCGAATTGCCATCAGAACTTGCCCAAGCCGCAGCAACGACGCATTGTCACACCATGAGTCTTGCTTTGTGTCACTCACAGCCGTGCAATGCACCCTGAAAGGTTTTCATGGCTTGCCTCCTTTTTTCCGCAAATCCCGGACCACCAAAGCAAGCCAGGCTGCACGAAAATGGCTTCATTTCCTGAGTATAGCGGCTGCCCTCAAGCACCAGTGGTGCAAGGCCGCTTCCTCAGGCCCAAGACCGGCCTCTGGCATTGTTCTGCCTACCCTCCTTTCCAGCACTGGTGCTCCATCCTCTTTCTCCCGAATAATCCGCCAACCCCTTGTCCTGAAAGGGGGGGGTGCACGGGAAGGGTGGAAGGTCATCACTATTGCAGCAGCATGTCTTTCTTACACACATAGTGACGCCTATCATCATCTGGATCATCACTGCTGGAAATGCTACGGATGCGTAGTGATGCTTATCATCATGTTGATCATCACTGCTGGATGCTATGGATGCGTAGTGATGACTATCATTAATGCTGTGGTTACGTAGTGATGCTCATCGCCTTTGTATTCCTATATTCCTGCTATAGGCATTTCAAAAGTCACGTTAGGCACAGTTGGAGATGCCGGCGATGCATTGTGATGCTTATCACCATCCTGATCATGGTTGCTGGAGATGCTACAGCGATGCTTGTCATCATCCTGATTGGAGATGCTCTGGATCGTTGCCGGCGATGCTGTGGCTAAGTAGTGATGATCATCGCCTTTGTATTCCTATTATACACATGTCAAAAGTCACATTAGGCACAGTTGGAGACGCCGGCGATGCGTAATGACGCTTCTAATCATCTTGGTCATCACTGCTGGAGATGCTACGGATGCGTAGTGGCGCTTATCACCACCCTGACCATCATCACTGCTGGAAATGCTATGGATGCGTAGCGATGGCTGTCATTCACGCGGATGCTTGCCGGCGATGCTGCCGTTACGTAGTGATGATCATCGCCTTTGTATTCCTATTATACACATTTCAAGAGTCACGTTAGGCACAGTTGGAGATGCCGGCGACGCGTAGTGAGGCTTATCATCATCCTGGCCATCATTGCTAGAGATGGTACGGATGCGTAATGATGCTTATCACCATCCTGATCATCATCACTGCCGGAGATGCTATGGATGAGTAGTGATGGTTATCATTCACACGGATGCTTGCTGGCGATGCTGTGGCTACGTAGCGATGATCATCGCCTTTGTACTCCTCTTAAACACATTTCAAAAGTCACGTTAGGCACAGTTGGAGATGTCGGCGATGCATAGTGATGATAACTTGATCATCACTGCTGGAGACGCTACGGATGCGTAGTGATGCTTATCATCCTCTTGATCATCAGATGCGTAGTGATGATTATCATTCATGCTAGCGAAACGTAGCGATGCTTATCATCATCCTGATCATCACTGCAGGAGATGCAACGGATGCGTAGCGATGCTTATCATCATCCTGAGTGGAGATGCTCTAGATCGTTGCCGGCGATGCTGTGGCTAAGTAGCGATGATCATCGCCTTTGTATTCCTATTATACACATTTCAAAAGTCACGTTCGGTACAGTTGGAGATGCCGGCGATGCGTGGCGATGATTATCATCGTCCTGGTCATCACTGCTGGAGATGCTACAGATCCGTAGTGATGCTTGTCATCATCCTGATCATCATCACTGCCGGAGATGCTATGGATGCGTAGTGATGGCTGTCACTCACGCGGATGTTTGCCGTCGATGCTGTGGCTAGGTAGTCATGATCATCGCCTTTGTATTCCTGATGTTTACATTTCAGAAGTCACGTTAAGCACAGTTGGAGATGCCGGCGATGCGTAGCGATGCTTATCATCATCCTGGACATCACTGCTGGAGATGCTACGGATGCGTAGTGATGCTTAATTAAGATGTTCTGGATGCGCAGTGATGGTTATCATTCGCGCGGATGCTTGCTGGCGATGCTGTGGCTACGTAGTGATGATCGTCACGTTAGGCACAGTTGGAGATGCCGGCGATGCATTGCGATGCTTATCATCAGCTTAGCATCATCCTGGTCATCATTGCTGGAGATGCTACGGATGCGTAGTGATGCTTATCATCATCCTGCTTGGAGATGCTCTGGATTGTTGCCGGCGATGCTGTGGCTGAGTTGTGATGATCATCGCCTTTGTATTCCTATTGTACACATTTCAATAGTCACGTTAGGCACAGGTGGAGATGTCGGCGATGCGTAGCGATACTTATCATCCTCCTGGTCATCACTGCTAGAGATGCTACGGATGCGTAGTGATGCTTATCATCATCCTGATCATCATCACTGCCGGAGATGTTATGGGTGCGTAGTGATGGCTGTGCTTCACGCGGAAACTTGCCGGCGATGCTGTGGTTAGGTAGTGATGATCATCGCCTTTGTACTCCTGTTATACACATTTCAAAAGTCACGTTCGGCACGGCTGGAGATGCCGGCGATGCGTAGTGATGCGTATCACCCTCCTGGTCATGCGTAGTGATGCTTATCCCCATCCTGATCATCATCACTGCACGTTAGGCACAGTTGGAGATGTCGGCGATGCATAGCGATGCTTATCATCATTTTGATCATCACTGCTGGAGATGCTACGGATGCGTAGTGACACTTATCATCATGTTGATCATCACTGCTGGAGATGCTATGGATGCGTAGTGATGATTATCATTCATGCTGCGGCTACGTAGTGATGCTCATCGCCTTTGTGTTCGTATAATAGGCATTTCAAACGTCACGTTAGGCACAGTTGGAGATGCTAGCACGCTAATCATCATCCTGATCATGATTGCTGGAGATGCTACGGATGCGTAGTGATGCTTATCATCGTGCTGATCATCACTGCTGGAGATGCTGTAGATGCGTCGTGATGACTCTCATCGCTGCTACTGGAGCTGCTTGGGATCATTACAAGGATCGTTGCTGGCGATGCTGTGGCTACGTAGTGATGATCATCGCTTATCTAATCGTATTATATACATTGTCACAGCATCGCCAGCAACGACCCTCGTGATGATCCCTGGCATCTCCAGTAGCAGCCACGGCAATCATCACTACGCATCCCTAGCATATGATCATCAGGATGATGATAATCACCACTACGCATCCGTAACATCTCCAGCAGCGCCTGACGATGATAACCATCACTACGCATCCCTAGCATCTCCAGTCGCAACGATGACACTCATCACATCTCTAGCAGCAATGATCGGGGACGATGATAAACATCACTACGCATCCTTAGCATCTCCAGCACATGTGATAATCATCATTGCGCATCCCTAGCATTTCCAGCAGCGCGCAGCAGGATGACGATAATCATCATTGACGATGATGACCATCGCTACGCATCCCTAGCATCTCCAGTCGCAAGGCTGATTGTCATCATCATCATCGTCATCAGCATTGGGCTCAATTGGCGATTGGCGATGCGCAGGATGCATTGGTGATGCAGAAAATGCGTCGACGACCTTTAAGCTGGCTTTGGACGAAGCTCATCCGAAACTTGCTCGGATGAGCTTCACAGCTGGTGGAATTGGCCCGCTACACACAATTGGCGATGCATTGGTGATGCAGAAAATGCTTCGACGACCATTAATAAGCTGGCTTTGGACGAAGCTCATCCGAAACTCGCTCGGATGAGCTTCACAGCTGGTGGAATGGCCCGCTACACACAATCAGCATCATCAGCATCATCATCCGGTATTGGTTTCTGCTGCATGCTTGAGGTGTGGCGTTAGGCTCAATTGGCGACGCAGAGGATGCTACGATGATACTTATGATCACAACCTCTTAGCCCAATTGGTGACGCACAGGATGCATTGGTGATACAGGCGATACTACGACGATAATTAAATTTGCGTTGCGGCACCGGGCGGTAGCCCTTAAATCCGGCTACGCCTCCTGGGGTAGCACGTCGCCGCTAGGCAATTAGCCTGCTAGCTTTAGCTATAGGGGCTGCACCCTGGCGCCGCCCCCCCTCGCCACTTGGTCGTGATGCGCTGCCTAAACCCGGCACCTCTGCATCACCAGCTCGGGCTTACGGTTTTGCTTGCCTGTGGGAAACCCTCGTAAAACATCGCGTATATGCAGGGTTTTGGCCATGTGACTGACATCGTCAGGGTCTGGGGTTGGGCCTGGGTGATGCTTCAGCGGGCCTTGGTCTGCATCATAAAGACTTCCTCCTAAAAAGCCTCTCAACGCATGAAGCACTGTTTTTTAGAAGGTATCGGAGGGATATAAGCGAGGCTCATGTTTGCGCATTTTGGCGCCAAGCGCTGCCGGGCATGCCGGCGATGCTGGGTCCTCGCTCTCCAAAACGCTGTAAATACCGCCAAAAACTGCTGCGCTGAGCCTTGGGCTGTTGTTCTGTCCGTTTTGCTCTTGCTGTGGCTGGCTCGCGCGCTGCGCGGTCCTTGCTTTTTCCCCGTTGGTTTTCGGGCCCATGTCAGCCTTCTGGGTTGGGGCCCGGCTGGGGCGCAGAAAGCTGGCATCCCCGGCATCATCTGGGGTTGGGGCAGGCAACGTGCATAACCTAACCCGCCATATCAGCACAGGATACGTTTCTCATACAAAAAACATGACATGACATGGTATAACTTCAAAGAGGCATAGCCGGCTAGAGGCCGCAGGCCAAGAAAATTAGGGTGGACTATGGGATTCAATTTGACATGGCCTAGTATGGGGGAGTCAGCGGTGCAAAACAAGGAATGTGCACACGTTACAGCATGGGCAGCCCAACTGAGCGTGGCACCTAGGCAAAATGCTCATTTTCACGCAAGCCAACAGCGAAAAGCCACACCCCACAACCACTTTGCGGGCAGACTTACAGTCTTCTTTTTGCATCCATAACTGGTGTGTCTTGCCATGGTGTCTGGGCGGGCCTTTTTTTTGCGGAGGCAACTGGTGTTTATTGCGACGGTGGATTGCTGAGCTTCTTTGTCGTTCGCAGGGGAGTCGTGTTTTGGCGTGTAAATAGGAAGCACTGTTTGCCAAGAAACAAAATATTGTTGCAGCAGAAACGGTGCCTTCTCAACGAGAGCATTTGCGACACAGATCGGCGTTTGCTGCAATGGTGAACCCTCTGCGTTAGCAGTGTTTGGTGAGTGCTTTGTTCGTCGCGTTGGATGGTGCTGGTTGCAAGAGAAGGCACAATATGCAGGCAGAGTGCTTATTGCGGCCCGCGGGGCTTCTGCGTGCTCAGAAGCGTGTTTGGAAAGCGTTTCGTGCGCCGTGTTAGAGAAAGTGCTGCTTATCAAAAACTGCAAGCTTTTTCAAGCAGTAGCGTTTTTGCAATAGCCGTGTTTTTGCGATACGAGTTGTTTTTGTGTTGCGACGCAGATCGGTGTTGTTTTGTGCCCTTCCCTTTCCAGAAGTGCATCTGGGAAGCATTTTGCGCCATGATAATAGGTTTATGCCCAGCAAACATATCTTTTGGAGACAAGGGCTTTTGTGCGCACAAATCGGCGCCGCAAAAAACACCAAGCGACAGTCGCAAAATGAAATTAAACAAAAGTGTCGCAAGAAACACCAGGCGGCCGTTGCAAACAACACAGGCTGAACATCGCAAAAACACCACTGTTCAACCCAACGGAAAATGGCTCGCGAGGTATGGAAGCCAAAGCAAGGTGCCAAGTGTGTCGTGCAACATTGCGCGGAGCGTGATCGCAGCCCAAAAGTAGCAAACATTCAGCGCGCTCGGCTTGTTGCCACACGAAGCCAAGTATGAAGAGCACGCCAGGTGCTGAAGGGTTCTGAGCCAAAAGACTATGTTGCACGAGCATCGTGGGACCTAGTGCCAACAGGCATGGGCACTGGTGCGGAAACTCAAGTGGAGCGGTCAGAGAGTCTCAGTGATTTGGGTAATGAGCTCTTGTGGAGTGTCGGGTTACAGTAGCAGCTTCAAGACTTCTCTGCCTGCTTAGAAGTATGCGGTTCTAGCCCGCAACCAGTCTCGCTATTGCCAGGCCTGCGTGGCTGGCATCCACCCATGAAATTCGCGACTTGAACAGCAACGGCTCACATTACAGCATGGTATATCACACTTCATCACATGACATGACATGACATAGTAATCGTTCAGAAGAAAAACGCATTGCCGGGGTACGTGTCCACGGGCTGAGCTTCGCATCAAAAAGCATTGCCTGCTGATCTCCGGCGGCCATCACAAGAAGCAATTCGGACAAGGTGCTGACTGGAGAGCGTTTGTCACCAGAATGTTCCCAGCCATGTGTCGCTGGAGAAACCGAAACCTTCGCCAGTGAATGGCGCTTCCCGCAACAATTTGACTTCAAGTGAGAAAGGGCACAACTTGGCTGGCCTCACTCTACCTGCACTTGGGCTCACACTGCTCCATCTCTGCACTCATCGTTGGCAGCCATATTTCTCAGATCTGGCTGCCGGAGTCTGTAGCCTCAGCCAGTTGCAACGTTGACAACACTGCCAAGACCAGACGTTGGAAAGTCAGCGAGGGTGGAAGCTTCGGACAAAGAAGCTGAACAACAAAATGTGGACTACCCAAAACTTTTTCGTTGTATCTTTGCAGACCAACCAGCCAAGCAAGCCGCCCAAACTGCGTAACCCTGGCACAAAATCCGAAAGACGCCTTGCAACCCCAAAATACCTTGATCTGTGTCGCCTGGGTCTGGCCACGATGGCTTCGGCCATGACATGACTCTGGCGAGAAAAAAAGAAAGTTTGAACAACTCAGGCTGCTAAAGGCGACTACGGTCAAGCCTGGCTCAAAAAGATTACATAAGTGAAACAAATGTGTTTGAGTTCAGGGTCTGCCTTTTGTGATACCAACTCACTTTGACACAGCTTCTGCTGAAAACTGCCCCAGGCCTGGAGGCAAACTCGGCCGGTTCTGTGGCCAAGGCGGCCCTGGCTTGTTCTTCATGAGAAGCAATTAAATGGCGACCGCTGAACAAGCCTGCCTTCATTTGTGCCTGCGCAGAACCCCGTTAAACAACCTAGTCCTGATGGAAGGGACGCTTTCAAAGGGTCAGCTGAGGTCAGTCTGTTGGCCCGCCTGCGGAACCCATTGCGAAGCCTTCGGTCACAACCACAACACTCTGGAGCAGAAAGGCTGCGGCTATCTGCCTAATGTTGATACCTTGACTATGCACATGGGGGAATACCCGACAACATGCTCCCGTGTTTTCAGCCGCAACATGACGAGAACACACGTTCCAGTGAATGTTGGCAAGATGGTAAGAAAACACGTTCCATCACATTCATGGTTGTTTCGTGCATTGTGCCAACACGGTAACTAAACGACACACGTTCAGTGTATTTATGGTTGTTGAGTGCGAGATGGCAACATAATGAGAACACATGTTAGCATGCTTGCTGCAAACATAATAAGAACACGTATTCCAGTGCATTCATGGTTGTTGCACGTATGATGGCAACATGATACGAATCTACGTCCAAGTGTGTGTGTGTGTGTATGCTTGTTGCACGCACGACGGCAACATGGTAAGAACGCACGTTCCATCGTGTGCATGGTAGTTGCCTACGGGATGGCAACATGATAACAACATTGCACTCATCGTTGTTGCTTGCGTGATGGCAAAATGATGAGAACACATGTGCCAGCACGTTCCTGGTTACGTGCATGGTGGTAATATGATAAGAACGCGCGGTCCAGCGCATTCATTGTTTTTTTGCGTGAATGACGACAACATGATAAGAACACATACTCCAACACGCACCTTCATGATTGTTAACAACAATCATTCCAGTGGTCTTATGGTTGTTGCGCGCTTGGCGGCTGGGATATGTAAGGATGCAATACACAAAAAAGATCCAGCTTCCCACCTGTGGGGGTTGTCTTTCGTACGCTTCGTGGCACACTGACAGGTGGCGTGGGTGATGGAATAGCGCAGTGCCTGCGCAAAACATGGATGCCTGTGTGATACATGATGCCAAGGGCAGCAAGGCGGTCTTTTCCAGCTGCGATGTGCCCGACTTGCCAAAGTCTTGCGGTGCACTGCGCTGGTCACCGGCGTCAAGGGACTGTTGCGCAACCCTCCGGCAAGGTCCATTCAATTATTGGATCAAAAGAAGATCCAGAACTTGTGACTGAGCCACTCGCTATGAACTCAGTAAATCGGTGCCCTGAAGTTGTCGCAAGAATGGATGAAAACCCTCTGGGCACAAGTGTAGCGGGCTTCATTTGTGGGTATCAGTGTCAAAGCAAGTTAAATTGTCTGCGTGCCAAACTCTAGAGTACCCCACCAGCCAGGTTTTCACACGGTCACTGAAAGGGCCTTTGAAAAGTACTGAAAACAAGGAAAACCAGCACAGTCAACTCTTGCCAGCACAAATAGCGCGGGGTAGCCTCGCACGTTCGTCTCCAATGATGACTTTTTCGTACCAGTGTTTTCTGCTTCAAGGAGTAAATCCCGTAACTCTCCGTCCCATGTCTCAGACCTCCGCTCTCAGGGCGGCCCGGATCTTTGTGGTGGCTTGTCCCACCAAGACTGGCCAGGCGGGGCCCACAGGCTCGCCTGTGAACAGGTCCACGTGCTGCCTGACACGCCCAAATGTCATTTTTTGCCACCCACCCACCCAACCTTGATGGAAAGGGTAAGGCGGCCAACTACCAAAGGTTGGTTGAGATAGACTCAAACCGCTGTGTTTTGTGGGACAGGGGACAACAAACAAGAGGAATGTGTAACTGCCGTCTGTTTGCAACTGAGTTCCTTTGGGATAGGCCAAGGAACAAAAAGAATGTTCTAGGAACCCAGGAACCAACTCCCAGGACTCATGGTTGGAGGCTGTTTCTGCCATTTCTGAAGGGGTGTGTCTGTGCAGAAAAAACAATTGAGCATCAAAAACGTATTTCGAAAGATCAAGACAACAAACATATTGAGCATTGCAGCATCAACAATGGGCACCAAATTGAAACTACGGCATCAGTAAAAATCACGTGTAGGCATCAAAAAACAATATTGTCGTGCATGGCTCAGGTTGCAGGGGTGGGTTTACTGCGGCTTGGTTTAGGGATGTTTGGCTTGGGGTGGGATTAGGGTGTAGGGTGGGTTGGAGGTTAGGGCTGGTTTAGAATGGGTTTGGGGTGGGTCCCACCCCAAACTCAGCTTAAATTCAAGAACTATCAAAATGTGGGCGTGTGCGTTTTGGCAAAGAAAGTGGCCTGCTTCACAAACGAATGATCGGAAAGTAGCAGATTTGTGGCTGTTCTCTGTTTCATCCTTCACAAGTTTTCCAGCACAAAAAGTTGTCAAACACTGCGTGGTCCAAGCTTCCCCCGGTAAGGGCTTTCCCTGAATTGGACCCCGACAAAACAGCAAATAACTTGATATCCTGCTCAACTGCTTTCCGGAATTCCTATGCGCAACATCGCCTCCCAAACCCATTGTGTCAGTTTGCAGGTGAATGAAGATACTGGCTGTAGTTCCGGCATGTTGATCCACCACATCATTGTAAAGTCTAGCAAGTGTATCTACTGTTTGCAGCGCTACAGATCTCAAATGTGGTTCCTTAGGTGCCAGGAGGCGAGTCAACCACGTAGTCAATGACAAGGCAGTTGGGGTTCGAATCCCGTGGGGTGACCAATACCGTCGACAATGGAGTCGTGTAGTAGCGGTCGTTGTAAAAGGGGGTTGTAACGTAAATGGTCTGCGCTGTCTCACGACTCGATGCGACGGCGGAATATGGACCTTGTTTTGCTTCACAGCTGTATATTGGATGTTTCGCCTTGAATCACTTAAACAAGGACTTGAGCCAAATGCATTCGCATGCACAAGTCAGCTGTACGAACAACAATCTCCCCCAAAGGTTTGAGGGATCTTAACAGAGGGGGAAGAACAGGGCGACCCTTGGAACCTGCCCTTAGGATTTAGCCCCCATCCCGGGCTTGGGTTCATCCTGGGCCGGGAACCGTTCACAAACACACGCCGACATGCATGGACGCACGGCTTTTCTTATTCAATTCTGTGAAACGTCTCTGCAGCATGGACGCACGGCTTTTCTTATTCAATTCTGTGAAACGTCTCTGCACGAGTTTGACCAGGTTCTGTAAACTTAACAGGAAATGAGAATGCGACAGGTCACATACCGAACCTCATGTGCAATGTTGCACACGCAGCAAACAATCTATCAGGTACCCTGAGCATCGCTTTTTGATTAGAATCAAAACATTTGATTTTAAGGGTTGGCAAATCAATTCTCTCAATTTGATTCTTTAAAGGCAAAAATCAAATAGAAAAAGCGTAGGTTTCAACAGCAAAGTTTAAAACGAAAAAAAAAGAAACTCAAGAAAACACATTTCAGAAAACAGTGAAAACACACCACACAGCTGACAGTTTTCCACAATGCCAAAGTACATGCAGCAAGTTTCTTTGAACTTGCAGACTGCACCAAAAAACTGGAGCAACCTTTTCCAAAGCTGCTGCAGTCTTTTCCAAAACCGCTCCAACTCAGCAAGCTGGCCCAAGAGGTGTCTTCCCAAGGCTTCAACCTTTTCCAAAGTCAAACTTCATCTGTGTAGCCTTCCTCCATGTCTTGCATGGATCTGGTCAAGAAGAGGTGGGTTAGTATTCTGTACTTGCCCACCACCTTGCTTGACAACCTTGTGGAAGACACCCCCATTGAGACTGAATGGGTCAGCTTACTGATTTGACCTACAAAGTCTTCCCCTTGAAAGCACCAATGGAGCTTTGGATTGAGATGCTTTGAATTCCATAGCAAATGCAAAAAGGAATGGTGCTTGGCCACTATGTGGAATGACTTTCTGTCCTTTTCCAAAGACCATGCATTGAGCCAGGCATAGCTCTTGAGAAAAGCACCACCCAAGGACAAACTCTTCTCATATTGAGCTGGGGTGGGGCAAACACCAATGTCATCTCACAGTTGAACCAGCTTTTCCAAACTGGTGGCTGCCCTCAACATTTCTACTTCACACACCTCCATGGTGTCTGCAAAAACTGTTTGGAGGACAGGAATGAGTGCTGGGAGCAGGTGTCTGGCCTCCCCCCCCTTGCATTCCAACACAGGATGCTTTGACCATGGCTTGCTAGGGTCACAGATCATAGATAGGCGGGGGTTTGTCAGTCGGTTTTTGCATTCCTGCTGGGTATAATGAACTTGGATCTGTGAAAACACCCAAGGTTTTTTTGCTGTTCTCATCCTTGGCCCTTCATAGTAGCAGCAGTAGTGAAGCACACCACCAATCACATGGCCATAAATTCCTTTGCAGAAAAGAATATGGAGGGGATCTCCTCTGACCATGCAGCTGCTGACCCCAGGGAGTTTGAAAATTGCATGGTCACCCCATGGGTCACCCACACACTCTTCATGTGTGTAGAGGACAAATCTCTGCTTTTCCAAACAGATCTCCTTGTACCCTTTTCCAAAGGTACATGGAGTGAAATTTTCAGCATCACATTCCCAACAAGGAAAATGAGATGCCCAATGGGGCAGACCAAGTGTATTACTGAAAAATTCATGATCCCCAATCACACTCCAAAGCACCCCTTTCGACCCTTGAGGGTGGAGGAGCTGCCCTTTCATTGAAAAAAACACTGAGCCCTTTTCCAAAGGCTTGCCATCTGGGTCCACTGTGGGATGCCTGCCACATGCCAAAGCTTCAAAAGACCAGTGCAAATGTTTCCAAATAGCTTCCCAAGTTTTCTTTGTGCCACAAGACTTGGGGAAGCATGCCAGAAGCCAATGGTTCAGCAAAGTTGGGAGGTTACTGGCCAAGCAGCCCCAGGAAAAGACAAGCAGGTTGTCATTGTTGGCATAATCCACGCCATCCCCATGAATGAACAAGGGAATGGTTTTATTTTCCCAGTCCTTTTCCAAACACATGGGGTAGAAAAATAGATGCCTTTTCCAAAGCATCCTTGTTTGCAGGGAACCCATAAGCTGGCTGCAATTTGCACGTTGGAGCAGAACTGATTCATGATCTGCCTGTGCACATTCCCTGGTTGTGCCCCCCAATTACCAGTTTGTGCAATTGCAACCAAATCTCTATGGCTTGCACCATCTTGGGTGGCACAGTCAGCCAACTCCCTGATCAAAGTTGCACTGAGCTGCCCCCTTGCCCAGAGAAACAAAAGCTTGTT